AAAAAAAAAAAAAAAAAAAACCAAATCAAGACATTTAATAATCAAAATCCGAAATCTCACCATGTTTAAACTGCCCTCGTTTTGCTACCTAAAAGCTTCCGACCACGTCAATACGGACAAGCATCGAAGCTTTTATTTAGCCTAAAGGGAAACGAATAATACATAAACAGAAGCTCATAAACATGTCGGGAAGAACATGAAGAAAAATGAAACTGAATTACAAAAAAAACTTCAAAGCGACCTTTTTGGAGAGATTAACCTCAGACCCGTTTGGATAATTCCTGTTAGAACGAACGAAAAATCGAAGCTTTGGTTCGACCTCATTCTTGGAACTGTTTGTGTGTGGGTGTGTGCGCGCGTGATGTCAGCCGACGAATCATTATCTGACACGTGTAGAATTGAAGAATGGAGGTGGATCGTGGGCCTGGTGGGGGCTTACTTTCCAGTCATATGGGCTTCTTGTTGGACCAGACCCAACACTTTCACTTTTGTATAGACGTGGCCAAAGCCTGGGCCGGTTCACGGCCCGGCCCGGCCGGCTGGGTCGACGGGTCTGAAATCCTAGGCCCGTAACTGGCCCGCCTATATCTAAGGGCCGGTTCATAGAACAGGCCCGGCCGGACGGTTCATTGAACTGCCGGTTCTTAAAAAAATAGAAAAATAAAATTATAACCGTGACCCGTCGGAAAATCTGGAACCGAAACCGACCCGTAACCGGCCCTTAAGGGCTTATGGGCCGGTTCAAAAAACGGCTAGGGCAGGCCAGTCCGGGGCCGATTCACGGGCTGGTTCACAGGTCGGGTCAACCCGTGGCCATGTCTACTTTACTTAACTTTGTATAAATACTATTTGTAATTATCAGCAAGACCAAATAAGGGTCAATTTTTGTAATTATCAAGACTAGTATTCTGATATTCTTAGAACTGGTAAAAGAACAAATGAGAGCCACTTATTGTCCTAAGCATTCTCCTTGTTATTCTCTCCCAGAAAAAAAAATATAAAAAAAAATATATGCTTTCAAAGCAATAAGAGAGCTGATTAAAAATATTGCAGCTTATAAGATTAACAAGGCCTTAACTCAAATACATATTTTATTTGCTGCTTAAAAATTTTCTATTCTATTATTTTCTTTTTTTTTTCAGTTTCTTTATATGTTGCATGCATGTAAGATAACCCGAATCATCTACAATGATCGACCGGCATCGATCGAGAGGGGTTCAATCGACCGTCGCCATTTTTCTCGTCGTTTTAATCTTCACTGCCTTAATCAGTCAATGGCTTGATATTGTAAGTCTCCATCTCTTCATTTTGCTGATTTTTCTTTTTCAAGTTTACCTTCATTTTATTTTTGTTCTCTTTTTCTTGTGCAGTCTATAGTCACAAAATCACTACAAACCACGAACCTTCTCCAAGACTCGCCACCCCACGTATACTCTGACGAATTCGATTGTTCTTCCCTCAACTGCTCACGAATTTCGCATGTCATGACGAAAAAAATTATAAACAATCCACCACCAAACGCATGTCCCGAGTACTTCAGATGGATTCACGAAGATTTAAGGCCGTGGAAAAACAACGGCATCACAAGAGAAATGGTCGAAAAGGCTAAAGATTTCGCGCATATCCGTATCGTAGTTGTTAACGGCAGAGTCTACACAGAGAGGTACAAAAAAGCTTTTCAGACAAGAGATTCCATTACAATATGGGGATTTTTGCAGCTCCTAAGGTTTTACCCGGGAAAACTACCCGACTTGGATTTCGTGCTCGAGTGTGGGGACAAGCCGGTTATCAAGAAACGGGATCACTTGCGGCCCGGTGCATCGGTCCCTCCCTTGTTTCACTATTGTGGAGATGATTTTAGTTATGACATTGTGCTTCCTGATTGGTCGTTTTGGGGTTGGTAAAAAGCATTCTTTTCCATTTTTTTCGGAATTTTTGCTTCACTCTTAAGGCTATGTTTGGTAATCAAATAAGCTAGTTTATAGCTTGTTTGATTAGCTTACATAAACTTCATGTATTCAAAAAAGTTTTGTTTGAAAAGACGAGTTTTTTAAAAAGCTCAAGCTTATCTCATAAGTTTCTTTGGGTAGCTTTTTAAATAAACTCGTTGAAATTTTAATTTCATCTAGCTTATATCAACTAATTTTGCCAAACACTTTTATCATATAATATAGGTTTTCAGCTATAAGTCATTAGCTACACGCTATAAACTCGAAAATCAAGTTAGCTTATCAGCTAGTTTTATTATACATTATCTGAAGTTCTTAAGGTCACTTACAAAAGAGTTGTTTTGATGTAATTTAGAGTTTTTTCTCTGCAGGCCAGAGGTTAATATAAAGCCATGGGATGAACTGAAGGAGGATATAAGAGAAGGCAACAAAAGAATGAAGTGGAAAAATCGAGAGCCTTACGCTTACTGGAAAGGAAATAGTAAGCTCGGCACTGCAAGACGAGACTTGATCAAATGCAATGCTTCCGATGGGAAAGATTGGAAAGCTCGGTTATTTGGAATGGTACGGTAAGAACCGCGTTATACTACTAATTTTACGAGAAAAAAAAAAAACAAAAAAATGAAATATGACCGAATTTCGTAATGTTGTAGGATTGGCATGAAGAGAAAAAACATGGATTCAAGAGTTCAGATTTAGCAAGCCAATGTACTTATAGGTAAGGCATAAAAAAGTTTTCTTCTTACATAATAAGAACAAAAGGGGTATAAAAATGTTTCTTACACAATAATGAATCTATAAATGTTTTTGGCAGATATAAGATATATGTCGAAGGTGTATCGTGGTCCGTTAGTCAAAAGTACATCTTGGCTTGCGACTCGATGACTTTGATCGTCAAGCCTCGTTTTCACGATTTCTTCACGAGAAGCTTGTCGCCCACGGTTCACTACTGGCCGATTGACGAGAAGAACAAATGCGAATCTATTAAGTTTGCGGTTGAATGGGGCAACAAGTACACAGACAAGGTAAGAATAAAAACAATGTGAAGAATAGGGCTGCAAACGAGCCGAGCCGAGTCGAGTCGTGAATTGACCTTATGGAGCAAAGCAGGATTTTTTTTTTTTTTTACCTGCTCGAGCTCGATTCGAGATCGACTCGACAAAAGAAGACATTCGCTCAAGGTCGGCTCGAGGTCGATCGAAATCAAAATGCTCAAAAATTGCTCGAGTTCGATTCAAATTTCAAGTAAAATTACTAATGTAATATCTATATATAAGGGGTATTTTAGTAATTCACTGCATATGTCGAGCCGCTCGACCTTCCAAAACCTATGCTCGAGATCAACTCTATAAGATGCTCGAGCCGCTCGAGCTCGGATCGAGTTCGGTCAAACTAGAGCTTGAGCCGAGCTTTGACTCGAGCGCTTGCGAGCCGCTCGGCTCGTTTGCAGCCCTAGTGAAGACACCAATGAAAAAGTTTGTCATTTGTTGTAATTTTTTTTTTAAAAAAAAAAGACTCAGATTTTCTTTCTAGGCACAGAAGATTGGAAAAGCTGGGAGTACATTTGTGCAAGAGAGTTTAGCCATGGAGTATGTGTATGACTATACTTTCCACCTCTTGAATGAATATGCAAAGCTCATGAGATACAAGCCAACCGTGCCTCGTGGGGCAATCGAGACCTGTTCGGAAACTCTGGTTTGCTCGGTAAGAGGACAGAAGAAGAGATTTTTCAAACACTCGATGGTGAAAAATCCATCAAACGATCTTCCTTGCGAATTACCTCATTTCTACGAACAAGGGAAGCTTCGTGATTTTCTTGAAATGAAAGAGAATCTAACGACGCAAGTCCTATCTTGGGAAAGAAGTGAAAGATGAAAGGGAATCTAACGATGAAAGAGAATCTAACACGGCTTGAAATTTTAGACCTCTATCGACTGTTAACTTGATACGCATGATTTATGATGGCTCGAAAAATTCATTGTTTTATCTTAGACAGATATGTTATGAACTATTTGTCATATTTTTTCTTTACGACTCCACATGGAATTGTTCGAAAACATTAGATTACTCCTTTCGTTCTTTCGTGTAAGGAATTAGTTCACGGCTTCATATATTTTTCGGAGGAACTTACGGTCAAAAGATCAAATAACAGAAAAATTCTAGTGACTGAGTAATAAAAATGTACACAGATTTGAATTGCAAGCATCTGCTCAATACATTTTATATATCAACATTGCTGTTTGAGGTACAAAATACCAATAGAGCCAGAGAAAATATGTGATCAGTAAATAATATTCTGTCGAAAAACACACAAACAAATATAACAAACAGCATAAAAGAGTTTTATCCTTCTCAATGCTAGTTTTAACCAAAACAGACCCTTTTTCAGATACAATAGAATATAAAGCCAAAACCGAACCCCCAAAAAAAAAATCGAACTTTTACGATATTCAGACGAAGAATATTAAGAAACGAGATGTATGAGAAAAAATGTGACTTCAATAAGCTCTTGCTTTGAGGATATCCCAGCTCATCTCACTTGGGTCGGTTGCCTGTAAATCGACCTGAATGCCATCGAGCTCTCTCTTGAACCTATCTTTCGAGCTTGCGTAAAGCATTTTGGTCCTAACTTTTGCCGTGTCTGGTGACCTGAAAATTAAGCTCGACAAAAATATTTTCAAGATACATTTGGCCTAATTTAATTTAATCGGAATCTAAAAGCCGAGAGCGAAATGAGTGCTTTAGGCTTACTTTGTTTAATAAAACTACGTTAATTCAGTCGAAAATGTCGTACATTTTCAAGAAAAAAAGGAAACACGGCTTAGAAGTAACAATTTACACCAAACGACGAGATTTTTATAGTGTAAAAAGTATGCATTTCTTTGAAAAATTACGATCATCTGATAAAAGAATTTACCCGTCTAACCATTTTTTTACATCGGCTCTCGTTAAACAAGCCAGAGAATGTGAAGAAAC